TACGGCTTTGTAGATAATTATAGAAAGGCTGGTTCCAGGTCAATTCGTTTTGCGACACGTCATCTTGCACCCTCATCTATGTTCATAATAGTCTTCCACTAACTACAGTGTACGAGAAAAAACAAACTAGATTCGCAGGATTTTTCCTTATGGGGAGATGAGAATCATTATTATTTTAGCGCTCTTTTATTTGCAATCTCTCATTCCTGCTATTCATCACGGCGTCCGCTTTTTACCTGCGTCACACAGAGAATGCACTCGCCTCGCTGCGACTGCACCTATACATGTTTGTTATTGAAGATGACTCTTCGCCTGGAATTAAGCGTGTCGCTCGTTAGCATAAAACCTGAGAAATATCCCGATGGATCCGGGTTTTATGATCGCCGATAACGTGTAATGAAAAATTGAAAAGTGCGCTCGGGAAATTGGTTTGTTACGACACGACGGCGAAAACGTTCGCTAAGGTCGCGCTGGGAAATAATAGTGGCGGTCAAATGGTTCTGTAATTTGTTTGCAATTCGATAGAGGAGCGAAAAATGGGTTTTTTTGGTGAATTTTAAATGAGATTTTTGGTTATATTAATAATTTCAGGAGCTTCCTATTGGATAGTTCCATGTAATATATTTATACTTTCTCTGCTACATCAAGAGTACAAAATTTTACTTTCACATAAGTACATTCTACTTGCTATAAATAGGTTATAAATAACTATATGACAAAATACCCAACAAAGTTCAGTTCTTTTATAGTGATAATTTTCACACCTTATAAAGTTTAATTACGAACACGAATTTACATTACACCAGTTCTTACTTCACCATTCTTTCTCTAATTAGAAAATATATTGGAAGGTAATTCGAAGTAAGTCTGTACGTTTTTATGACGAGTCGGTAATTTCAGCACTAATCGTAAAAGCCCCGTGAAAACACTTATTACCGCTTTTATTACATTATACGGACTCGTAAACTTTTATTTACTTTAAACTCAATAACTATAATTAGCTAATTGGTTTCTGCGGCATCTTTTCGATAGTTATACGTATTGAGGTTTCGAGCCGGCTTTATATCCGCCACTCAAATTGCTTATTAAATTTACGACTACCCGAAGTGCGCTAATTAATTTTTGCTAGGTACTATATTAGAACATCCAATTATATTTTCGGCAAAACAGACAATTCCTCCCGGTTAAGTTCCTTGTTTATGAAAAAGAAAATTTATCGTTCACTCCATCTCAGCGAAACGGAAACCTATGAGGCTTCTGATTTTCCCTTTGCGGTCTCTCGGTGAATGAGGGAATACGTAGAAATGAACTAATTGTCTTTGGACAGAACGTTAAATACAGGGTTTTTTTCTTAATTAACTGTTACCGGGAAGTAAGCGTTCATTCGAATAAAACAAAAGGATTGTTACAAAAGGATTTTATAACTTGTTATAATTAAATGAAATTAATAAGAACTTTGATACATTTTGTAACATCCAGGAATTCCTGATTGCACAATGTATAACCCTAATAAATATTAATAGATAAATAACATTGGAAACATGCATATTGCATTAGAGTATATGTAGGCGGAGGAACAGATTTATAATGTATGAAAAATAAACATTCCTACATTACTTCGAAATTGCGGGGTATTGTTCGATTTATTTGTCGTAATAATTCAATATAGATACGTAAATCTAAAATAATTCGATGCCTGTTTTCACGTTGCCATTAATTCACAGCTTTCTATGAAATTCCGTGGAAATAATTGTAAATTTCGAAGCATTATAGGTGGATAACATTGCTTCTAATCTCATACCAAGAATTTCTCCGTTATGAAACGCAATTTTTTTCGTATTGTTTATAAAAGATATTACACGAAAAATGGCCATAAAAGGCGACGCTGGTGCAATTACCGTTTATTTTTCTTTCCGTTTACTCGGCCAACAAACAAGTGTACGTCACCGGTGAAAGAGCCATCGCCGGCTATTTTCCACTATTTTCCGCCTTCTATTAGTGTTTTGTTGCGTTTTCTTATTTTCATTTCCTTTTCGTTCTGAAAGCTAAAAAACGCTTGGGTTTATGTAAGTAGACTAATACTCACAAAACAAAACATCATCATATCAAATAATTACGATTTTTACACGTTGAATTTATTTAATTAACATTTATGATATTTTAGTATTATTTTATTTTAGTTTGTAATGATATGAACATGATCAGAGCGTAATGGAATTCTGTGCTAACACGGTAAAACACTAAATAAAATTTAGTTACCTGTATTAATTAATTAAATGACATTATTAAACAGTTGAATTTAGTATTATTTATATTCCCATATTAAACGTTTTAACGTTTGCCTTGATTATTTTAGTAGTTTTTCGTTCATTTCCCTAATTAAAACTGATATTACTCATGCAAAAATTCAAAAATCTTAACATGCATCAATTTATCAATATGTAGATATTATTAAATTTTAATGTATGCAATATATTCGTTTTGTCAATTCGGCCGCAGATAAATAAAATATATTAGTTATTGAACGTAAATTTGTAATTAATTCTTTATTTTATACTGCATGGAAATTTATAAAAAAACTTATTCCATATACAACAGATGTCATAAATCGAACTAGTGTGATAATAAGCAGTAGATATATTTTGATAGGTTTTTATTTTTATATAAAATGCTTGTATATTGCGTGCAAGTTCCCAAGTTAACTTAGTTAAAAATACCATTGCGGAAAATAAATGGCAAAAAACTCAACCGAGCCGAGAGCGATGAGAGACATATAGTGGGATACAATTTGAAATATGCAACGTCTTCTTTTTAACGGAAAAAACAACGATGAGGAGAAACATTATGAAACTGGCATTACGGATGCTGCACCTTATTAAAAAGTTCGCAGAAAAAGGAATTTCATTGCAAGAGAACATCGCCGAAGAAAATTATACGGATAGCGTCTACATCAGTATTCGGATTATTCTTATATTAGAATTAGTCGATTTTTCTACGCTGATGTTCTCATGAAATTTTCTGAATATTCTGTAGTTAATTCAACTTCCGTTATTAAAAGTTTATATCGATGCAATTACTTGTTACCTACGTTGTTATATCATATTTTAAATTTTTGCCCTATACGTATGCACGTGCTGCGATGATAATTTAAATTGTCCATTCGCTGGAGGCTCTAAGGAGCGTATTTGTTTTCATTCACTACTCCATGCGTTTCCCCGTTGTATATTTTACTTACGTTCCATGTTTGCTTTCCCTACCTTCACGTGTTCGCTAATTTAGTTTAGAATATGATATACCGTACTCTTGTCGAATCTCCTGGAAGTTTTTATTAAATTTTTACAAAATAACCGGAGCGAATGGAACGTTTCGAATGCCGTTTTTAATTTCGTTTCCGTTGAATTTTTCGAGTAGCGAAAGACCAAGTTTGGCGTTATTTGTACGTATTTTCTCATTTTGTCGAAGCACAAAATTCGACTATGAACAAATAAATTGATATGGATGGGTTTCGACTGGATTTTAATTTTTATTTTTCGCCTTTAAAATCCGTTAAATTTATTAAGTGTAATAGTTTAGATAATTTCGTGATTGTGTCATATTTCATTTCCGTCTCCGATATTTACAAAACTGTCTCGTGGGAATAAAGTTATTGCTACACGATGTTTACTTTTAGGGCAAATATCTCACAATTCAAAAACGTCCGGCACTCGGGGAGCCGTTGTCGTGACACTAAAATTTATGTCCGCAATTAAATAAAAAAAGGGTAATGAGAGCAGCAATAAATCCACAAATATTAACTTACTTTCATTTCATCCTAGTTTATGATCGCTTTCGAGGATGGCGATATAAAATTATATCATCGCGTTTACTGCACGCTTTTGTTGTAGCTTTATTAATTTTTTTTATATTCGTTCGGATGGTATTAATTAAAATTTTTAATCAATTTTATGCTTAGAAATCTTGCGATAAAATTTAATGAACAACATGTTTGTTCGTTTTATGGGGACAAATAATTTTATTAAACCTTATTTTCTAATACTACTTCTATAGTTTGATATTTAAAATTATCTATCTAAATATGTACGAATATTATTCAATGCATAACATCCTGGGTGTATTAAAAATGATCCAATATGTCCAATATATAAAATTAAATATTTAATTTCAGGCAATTATTCGGATTTTCCTTATATTCAATACCTAACACGTAAGTAAAACAATGAGTAGGTAAAATGAGTGCTAAAAGGTTAATAAACTGGTGGAGAACTGCACTGGCCACCAAAATTTTAAATTTGTTTTCATATTAAATTTTTGGTGTATTAAATCATGAAATCCTACCCGCCAGATTATTTATTATACCTAAATGCAACACTTTTTATCCAAATTTATTCCATGTAATTCGTAAATCACTGTTATTTAATTGCACTTAGAAGCAAAATGGCAAATTATATGCGTCTTCAACACATCCTATTAATTTTCCATGATAGTCACCGTTGTATATGCGGTGCATCTGCCGTAGATTCTCGTCTTTCGTTCAATGAAATGCCGCTTCGACGGTTTACTGGCAAATTCATTTACCTCAGCAAGACTGAAATATGCCATTCGCTCATACATCCATCCGATATACTCTACTTAATGTAATCAATACGGACTTGCTTAGAGAACACTAAACCAATTTTATTGAAGAGTTAAAAGCATAAAGTTTTCATGGAAACCGGATACAATTTCTCCGGAGTACGTTATTTGTGCCGGGCAGATCGGCTCCTGCTTCTTTTCGGAAAGTAAAGTGCAACGGGCACTTCCTCCACTTTACGCTGAATTAGAAAATGTCTGTATATAAAAACGTCGGATATCGACCGTTACAAATTCCTTACTTTGTGTAAGGATAAATAATTTGTTTCTTATCGATTTTTTTGCTCTTTTTGTTCTCTCTACCTTTCCATTTTTTTTAATTAAATTGGTAAATTCTGTGACATCGAATTTATTCGTAATTATTGTTTCAGATCCACCAGAAATCAAAGTCAAACCCAGAAATTTGCAAGTGCGAGCCGGCGGCATAGCTGCCTTTTACTGTGCGGCACAGGGCGATCCTACGCCCGTTATACAATGGAAGAAGAACGGCAAAAAAGTTTCAAGTAAGTTACATTATCATATAATTGTTGCCGATAAAACATGTCATTATACTCCCCAAATTCTGATTTCGTGATAAACGTAATAAGGAGAAAAATGATAGCAAACAAAAAATCATTTATAATCCTAGTGAAGTACTCGTTTGACAGGAGTATATAATCAAAACACACTTCGCACATTAACCCGAGACTTGACCTCTTACACCGCCATCACCTGATTACGATGAGGCATTTCGGAATACATAAACATCCCTTGATTACCTTTTGATAAGGGTGCGGACAGCGCTTGCATATAAAATATAAGGTAAAATTATCGCGTAATGCGATGAAAAATATCCACGAATCCCCTTAATACCGACATCAGTAGCCATTATGCATGTATAAACACCTTTGTTATTCAAATTTTATTTCGACCGCAATTTTCTCATTCATCACACGGTCCTCGTGCTCCGCGATATTTTCTTTCGGCTCGGAAAAGTGTACCTACCTGCCTCCTGTTACTATATTGAATTTCCACGCTGTAGCTTAACTGGTTTCCATTGTAAATTAATAATTGACTTGTATTAAATTTCATTTTGTAGTATAAGTAAAGTGTATTAAATTACTATGATAGTTTTTATTTATGTATTAATTACATGAATATTCTTATACAGTTTGCATAATATGCATACAGTTTAATATTACATATATTAAGTTTGATTTCGTGCTGGTACAGAATATGTAGTAACATTTTACAATTGGCAGGCGTATTTGTAATTACTCAGTGTGTTTTTTTTATTAATTTTCCTCGACTCTTTTATGTGCAATATTTTCGAGCTGATAGGGGCAGCCGGATTATCCTATTTCGGGTTATTAGGGTCTCCAAACAACATCTGTAACATCCTCGGCAGTGCGGAATTGGTCCTTCGGCTCGGATAGACTCGTTTGGGATCGTTGCGTAATAGGCGCTTTTTCTGGGCTACCATAATCGGGATCGTTCGAAATTGTTAGTACCGCCGCCACGTAGCGAACGGGGGACCCCGGGGGCGGCCCGGCAGAAATGCATATAAAATCCGCGCGCTTCGTTACCAATTAGCACTTCGGGAACATGTTCGGGCGGTTGTTACGGGTCGAAACCATGGAAATGCGATTGTTTGTTCGTCGGGAACATGCACGACAATCACGTAGAAAAGATTCAAATATTTATTTATCTAAAACTGATCGGCGGCAAATAGAAAAATTCACACGTTTCGTATAATCTCCGCCTTTATTCGATCTATCTATTGGATTTTTAAAGCGAATATCTGCATGTATGAAATTATATGTTTACAAATACAAATTTATGTTTTCATCTCTTCTGTTCGTGTCAATAAACTATTAAAACGTACGAATTTGCTTCATTAGAGGGAAACAAGGAAGTTTTTACGATTTATGAAAAAAGTTTATGCTTTAAACTAATGGAATTATTTGATGCACATACTGACGAAACTAATAACTAAAGAAATTGTCGCAATTTTATGATGTTTTACCTAAAATGACAGTCACGCATGAGTTATTTCATTTTATCGTGTTCTCAATGAATGTGTCGATGTTAAATTGATTAGAGAAACATTTATCTATCGAATAGCTTTTTCGTTGATGTAATTTGTATTACTTTATACGCAGTAGAAGTTCATTAAAGTCATATAACAAAAGAGATTATTGAAAAAGATACTTTATTTATAGGTATGCTATATATAACTACATACTCATAAACATTGATTTATTCCAACACATACCTTTAGTAATATTTAATGCATAAACGATTACAGACAAAGATAAATATTATAAAAAAAAGTAAATGTAAATTTTTAACGGCACACTAGGTTTATTGCTATTCTATTATTAACAGTGCATTACTCGATTACGGAGCGAGTAAAAAACCGGTATAAATTTTTCTCCAAAAATTTAATAAAACCACAAAAGTTTGCAGGTAAATTTCCGCGTTTGTTCGCAGGTTCCCAAACTCGTTACCAAGTGAAAGAGTTCCCCGACGGCGCGTCCCTGTTGAGGATAGAGCCGGTGAAAGCGGGTAGAGACGATGCGAATTACGAATGCGTCGCCGAGAACGGCGTCGGCGACGCCGTCAGCTCCGAGGCGACGCTCGTCGTATTCGAAGGTAAGTGTATAAAATTATTAATTCGAGCCGTGTCTAATTTATTTCCGATCCATTATACAGATATATTTCCAATGATTGAAAATCGGAAGCGAGGTAGACTGATTATTAAATCGACAACACAATTTTTACGTGGGCGTTCCAATTTATTTTTAAAATCGTTCATAACGAGTCAAATTGAATGATAATTTAATTGAAAATACATAGCTTAACTAGCGCTCAAAATGCTTTATTTCTTGTTTATTTTTTAGTTGGTCACTAAATTTGTATGTTAATATTACGAGTACTTAGTTCATTCAAGTTTCCTATCTTGATAAAATTGAATTTAACGGTAATTAAGGACTTTTTGACGTAACGTCGCATAAAAAATATTCGTTATCGACGGAATAATTATGTCCGATATGTAAAGATACGAGTTATATTTTATTGTACGTTTTATTCCTATTTCGTGCCGCAAAATATAATTTTAAGTCGGTATTTATGTCGTTTGTACTGTATCGGGTAGGTAAATCGCTCGACGAAATATTGACTGGTCAGACTTATTTGACAAAGTAGAAATGTAAAAGTAGGTGAAATGTAGCCTTTTGTTTCCGTGGAATAAATTATTAAATTCTTTTAGCCATTTTAGAAAATGACTACGCCTTCAATAAAAATAAAACCTTTTAGATTTTCATTATTAGACATTTTTCAACTCCTTATTGTATTTCAATGTTTTTATTCAATAAAAATAAAAGTTGAATTCAACTGTCCGAAATAGCCGCTGATCTATTCAATTTCGAATCGATCGATTGCTAAAAAAACTAATAATTTTGGACGATTTATTTCTTGAGGAATGGGGAAAGTTTTCCTCATGTGGGCATTTCCTCTTTTCTTTGGGCCTTTGCCCGACGATCGGCAAACTGTTTCAATCTCTTAGAATAATAAAAAATTCACGACAGCATCAAACGAACTGACAAATAAAAATTCCAATATTTAAGAAGACAAATACGAAATGACTGAATAATGGGAGAAGTGTTTTCATTTCTCCATTTCCCCGTCTTTGGGGGAAATATATATAAGTACATACTCGATGATAATAGTCCGGGTAGTAGATTGTCAGTTTTAAATTTATTCAGAATTAATATTAATATCATTTCCTCGGCTTTTCACCATACTTAGAATGCCTCGTTTTCGATATTGCAGAAATAAAATTAACTTTCAAATTGCAAAAACGCTCGAGGGTAATCGAAGTACGTAATATTTAATTTGAATAATTTATCTATCAAACTGAAAAAAACGTGAAAACAAGATATACGCGCAAATCTAATTTCCAAAACTCATTATATTTTCTCTTCGAACTTTCCAAACTAAATTATGAAATCGTTTTTACATTCTGCAACAATAAGCGTAGCGAAATCGGGTCGCGAAATCGTACTAATTCCTCTCCATTTTTCAACGGATCCGAGCCGAATGGAAATTTTCAGGGAATTTTCTTCGGTTTAACAAATACCGTTGCTTTTTTAAAACGAAACGTTCGCCCCATTTGTTTTTAGCTAATTCTCCAGTAATTTCACGAGAATTATATTTGCACTTAAAATTACAGCCCATCGTAACTTAACACTCAATGTAATGCAACTTAAGTTCTACAGCCAGCAAATTTTACAATGGTTATTAAAAGGAAATTAAAATACGAATCCACCAATATGTTATGTGCAGACAATGTACAAACAATGTAGTATATTTTTTTGGGTACCGAGCGGACGGAACACAGCATGCATCATGCACGTGAATTTAATAAAGAAATTTCATCTTCAACCAGGAACGTTTGTTGATGCCGGCAGAGAACACAAAGGGGTAATGTTTTTCGAATGCGGAGCCGGGATCCGTCAAAACTTGTTGACTTTTAACTTCATTTCGGATTTTATGACTGCGAAATGCAATAGCCGCGCGTAGGAAATATTGATTTCTAAATTGTGGCCGAGATCTATCCACCCCGGGCGACCACTCGATATATATTTTCTTATTTCCGAGTGATACCGAATCCCTCTGGGTGCCCTTCGCTATTTCCTTTCTAAATTTAACGTTGCCCGAAAAGCGCATTGAATTATGCAAGCTTCTTGCCGCCGAATGTATTCTCCTACGAGCTAAATTAACCAACTGAATTATCAAATTTAGAGCGATAACTTATTCATGCAGGTGTTTGAATACGATATAACTTCGAAGAGAAACAAGTAAGGATTTATTCAAAGAAAACATTTTAATGGGCTTACATTAACTTAGCATATTAGTTGTATGAAAATTATTATTCTGGGTTATAATTTATGTTCCTTACGCGCTGTAGACTGGTCTATAAAGCGATCAGTTAAAAAGAAGCGAATCGTGTTCCTCTCGAGTATTCTTTTTCTCAGACGGTAAGAGCTTTCTTAATGGGATCATATTATTCACCTCATAAAAATGCTTCTAAAATACGTACACGCTTTTTGCATATTTTCTTGTGTACGTTTTTATTTTGAATTTTTTGTGCCGACAGAAATGACGTCTGCGTACTAAAAATTATTTACGACGCACCTGTGTATTCGAAGTTGAAAGTTGAAAGGAGTTTGTACTTAGCATGCGGAAAAGACGTTGTGTATAAAAAAGAGGAATTCAAACAGCGATGTTTTTTTATACTTTCCCGTCTACGCGAAAGAACTTAATGTTAATAGTTTCAGAAAGGTAGATTTGTTAACATTATAATAAGTACACAGAACGTTTTTCTCATAAAGCATCTTTGCGTAAAATTTGGTGAATGTGTACGTGTACAGACTAATTCCTTTTTCCGTAATTTGCCCAAGAATTTTAGGAGTCGGCTCGTAAAAACCATCTCCAAATATCGCCTCGTATGGCTGTATCTTCGGTAAAATAAACGAAACGTGACTGGTATGTTCTAGGAGAACATCTTCGATAAACATTCGACTTTACGAGCCCCCGTCGCGTTTCGGACAAAAAGAAATACCGACACGTATTCATTACATTGTGCATGAATAAAAATTGCATTATGTCGACTGTATACACTGAAATATTTGAGAGTCGTCGGAAAACTGTGTTTTCTTATTCGAGTTTTCAGCTCCTCGATATCTCTGTGATTTTCCGTATGCGCTTGCATATTACTCAGCTATTCTCTGAGTAGAACTAGTTTCATCCAAACTCTTTCTAGTTCTAAATTATTTCATCAAATTGCAAATTATTGTTATTGATATACACAAAGATACCAACTGGGTCAAAGTAGAAGGGAAAAAAGCCGGAATTTTTGCAAGATAAAAGCATTAATCTTATCTTAAAGTGTCTGCGATGATGGGATTCAGCTACGCATCATCAATTTCTGCGCGTCCCTACGCTCCAATGGGATAATTTGGACCTGCGATTTGGAATTTTTACGGCACATACAGACGTCAATCCGGATAAAAACGGATATTTCTAATGCGGAAATTGATATCTATGTGGGTCGCACATTCATGATCTCCAGACCTAATTTCACATTTTTCTACTTAATATTTGAGAATGGTTTATTTCCGTGCCGAGAAGTGATTAGTAGCACGAATATGAAAATGCGTGTTTTATCGCACTACTTACGTATGAAATTAAAAAATTGTCTTGGGAATAACAATGCTGGAAGCTTCTACTTTTCGAAAATAATTATTCCAACTTTACCATTTGATTCGAATTAAATTCCCAACCATTTTTATAACAACATTCGTCATTAGAGAAAACAACCTAGTTTTCTACTTGTTGCCTTTAGACTCTTCGCAAAGTTGATTTTCTTTTCTTCTGTTGACATTAGTAAGTATTTACTGCAAATAGCTTCGCTGAAAACCCTTAACGTAAATTTCCGCGTTCTGTTTTATTTATTCCATTAAGTAAATAGAGATAGCAACTTTAAAGTTTATCGTTTTGCAACTGCTACATCCGGAAAGTAATCTCGGAATAGTTTTAGCTAATTCGTTTCCATACCATACTTTCTATAAGTGTACCTTTCTAATCCCCATCATGAATTCTCCCCAATTCCCGCATTAGTTTAGTATTATTCGTAAAAGTTTTGTTTAACCATATGTCACAATCTATTTAATTCAGTTCAAATGTTTCTCCAATTGATTATCTTCCAGTAGCTACTGCTCTTGTAATAATTCACAAGTAGATAGATGATTCATTCAGCGCATTATGAAAACTACTAAAATTACCCGGGTAAGCTCAGTTTATTGTAGCAGAATTTCGTTTATTATACAAGTAGATATATAAAATTTTACTTTCGAGCGATAATTTGGGTTCCTCCACATAAGCCTCTCAACAATCCCGCAGAATCCCACTTTGGGTGTATGCGCTTTTATTAGAAAATTCAAAGATATATCTCTTAACTTACCGCTAAACGTCATACGCGAAATTACATAAAGCTTTAACGCTTTATAATGCACAAACAAAACTCCTCGAAACTTTCCGGTGAAGTTTTCCGGCGGTTTTAAGCGTTGGTCGGGAGTTTCGGAGGCGCGGGATATGAATATTAAGAGTTGCAATGCGAAAATAATGCAAAACGATTCCGACATACTGGGGAATATGTAGGTAAGACCGAGTCTATCGTACTTACAGGCGGATATTGTTATCCGTTTTCTACGTGGGTTCTTTGATGAGTGCCTGTTTACCGGAAAATTGGAATATTCTGATATACCTATAAAGAAATAAACATCAAACTTTAGATGGAAAAGCTTAAGGCTGTTTTCTTCGCGTTTCATACTAAGTGCATAATTTTTTATAAATAACATCCATTCAATTAATCCCGACCGGGTCGGGTCGTTTCCGAATTTGCCATCTAGTGACCTCTAACTCTAAGTTTACCGGCTAATTGACAACTTTATATTCATCCCTCATCTTTCCCCCAGTCCCTAATGTTACGTTGTTTTGCCGTTTCTAAGCCTAAACCTAAACTAACATGATACAACTTCACCAGATTCGGATTAGGGTAAATCAAAACATATTTTGTTTTCATTGAACAT